CTGGTCTGAGAATCAAGTGAGTAAGTAATACCCGGCTTTTCGGGTCTTGAAACTGTGACTTGTTCTCTCTTTAAGTTCTAACTAACTGACAAGGTACTTGGTGACCATAACTGAGATTGAAATTTCATTTTTCTACCTTTGAGCATGTTAACTTACAGTCAAACCAGGTGAAGCGTTCCCGTCGCTAACAAACTAATAAATTCATTAACGGAAAAATGATTTCGTTTGTTGATTCAATAATCCATTCATAAAATGAACAATCCAATATTCATATTTAGCCTCNTACCTCTGGTCTGAGAATCAAGTGAGTAAGTAATACCCGGCTTTTCGGGTCTTGAAACTGTGACTTGTTCTCTCTTTAAGTTCTAACTAACTGACAAGGTACTTGGTGACCATAACTGAGATTGAAATTTCATTTTTCTACCTTTGAGCATGTTAACTTACAGTCAAACCAGGTGAAGCGTTCCCGTCGCTAACAAACTAATAAATTCATTAACGGAAAAATGATTTCGTTTGTTGATTCAATAATCCATTCATAAAATGAACAATCCAATATTCATATTTAGCCTCGATTCCATAATCGAATGTTGATTCGATTACTGTTTTTTGAAAAACTGTACATTTTTTTTTCTTCTTTTTTTCTAAGAGTCGAGTGCGGACGAGTTCTGAAGTTCAAACCCAAACAAACTGTTACATGTACGCAGTTTTGCTTCCAGTAATCAGTGCAACGGACCTGACCTCTTAGAAAACATGATAGTCAAACTGAGGTCAGTGTATGTGCGGTGATCGGTGGATTTCGATCTCCGGCCTTTGTCAGTTTCTTTGCGTTTGCGGTCTGTCTCTTATAGCTGTTATTTTCATTAAAGACATTTAAAAATGCAATCTTAAACGGCAGGAAAAGGGAAGCAAATACGATTGAACTCAACAGGCAAGAATAAAGAACAGGTAGATTTTGTTCACAAACCAAATGAACATTTAACTATTGAATGGAGGTCCAATTTGACTGTTGGATTATTCATTTTATGAATTGATTATTGAATCAACAAATGAAACCATTTTTCCATTAATGAATTCATTAGTGTGCTAGCGACGGAAACGCTTGACCTGGTTTGACTGTAACGTCCAGTAAATCAGAAAGGTTGAAACTGTGACTTTTTAAAACAAAAAAGTAGGCATCCCTTCCCAAAAGTAGGGCCAATCTTAGCACGTCAAAGTACTATTTGGTCATAGATCCTACGGTTTTAGTGCTTTTGCTACAACTGCCATAGTGGCTTTGTAACGTGTTTGGTTTTTTTTCTTCTTTACTGCAGATTTCACGGTCAGCTTTGCAAGCTAGTGGGATGTCAAGCTTTTCACTATTCAGACGATGACATGTGATTTGAAAATAAACTGTCATTTACTTCAGCAAACTTAACGTGGTTGCTGGTTTGTCATAAGCTTATACTGGCTATCGTCTAAACATGAGCATTTGCTCGAGCACCGCTGCAGCCTCAATAATGCCACTGTTCACATGAAAAGCCAGATAGATAGCATTCACATTCCCATCAAGTCCCATTCGGGTAAGTCGTTTCACTGAGATAACCCACTAAATTCAGTTTCTTCGATTCTCGCTCAGTCCGACGCAACATGACCATGTCTAGAGAACCTACTTTTTCAGCACAATACGATTTGTGCCCTTAATGGGTTAGGATGAACACTTATTTTTCCCCTAGCTTGGGCAAAAAAACCCAAGAAAGTCAGAACAGCTTTTGCTTGCAGATATTTTTCGTATTATTGACATAAATGTAACATCGTAAGCTGTGGTTTTGCCCGAGAGATACATTGTTACTAAAAGAGCTGAAGTGTTCGGGTTTTGTTTTGCCCGATAGAGACACTGTTACAAAAAAAAAACTGAGGTGTTCGGGTTTTGTTTTGCCCGGGAGTGATACTGCAACAAAAGAACACGAGTGTTCAGACTGAAGACATTTTTTTTTCGTTTGCTTACGTCACCCTACTAGATAAATATAATTTTGTTTAACAGCTATAACAATTTCCTACCACCAAAATTAATGCGTCTTCACCCCAAATGTTTAAACAGCACTGAACAGAGGGATCGCAGCGTACGAAGCAAGACTGATTAACAGCATCTAGCAACACGAAAAATAGTGTTGGCTGAAGCGGCCTATTTGAAAGTCAAATACAGCTGGCGATAATTAGAAAAGGAAATAGCATTCATCTCCTATTGGTTAAAACAGAAAACTAGCATTTAGCAGTCATATTTAGCAGAAGACCGTAGGTGAAAAATGGATGACTACAATAAACTCGATTTCACTGATAAGCGAGAAAAAGCTTTGTGCTTCCCGTTAATTGAAAACTGAGAATAATCATTAACTTTTAAGAAGAAAACTCTAAATAGCCAATCCTCAAATCTTTCCCAAGCTTCAAAATGACAAAACCAAAGTCAACTCTTTCGTAGATGCTTTAAAAACTAAAATCTAGAGATCACCAAATTAAACTCCTA